CACCAGGCAGGCGTTCCCTTGAGTCCCTTCCACTGTGCATAGTTGTCGAGTTACGTGGGGCTTATAGGGTAGAGGCCGGAAGCTTTAATCCAGAATTGTTTTTGCCGATGTGAAGGCAAAGTGACTGGTGTTAGGAGATGGTAGGCCATGCACTCCCGGGAGTTGTTGGTTTGTGTTCTTGTTCCTCTGCTGGGCATGTGCAGGTGGATGGAAAGGTTACAGGGCTGTGCTATGACTTGGTAGTCCAGTTGTCTCTGGATTGTATGCGTCATGCAAGTAGTATGGCAACAATAGAGGCAGAGACAGACATGGGAAAGAGATTCAGAAAAGATCCAGTTGGTCTGTCATCTGCTATTTAAAGGACAGGAGTCTGATGAAACTTCAGTTCAGCCTTAACAACTTCACAGCTCTAAAGAGGAAAACCTCTCTTTAATAAATAAAAATCACATTTCAGAGGACTGGAGGATTTTGCATGTGAGAAGAAGCAGCTTTTGTTCATGTTTGTCAGTCAGTTGGGGCCTTAAATTAATTAATGGAATTAAGAATTAAATATATAAATATTAAGATGTTACTATTGATATTAATAGAAGATATATGGAAATGTATACATTTATATATATATATGTGCATTATAATTATGGCACCATGCAAATATTTAGCTTGTAATGTTTTTAATTTTAATTAACAATATAGTGGAAGTTTTTACTTCAATTAAAATTGTTTTTACAATATCATTCTCCATTTCTTTAGATAGATAGGCTTTACTGATGGTGCTTTGGGTTCTATTTGGAATTTGGGGTTTGTTTTGGGTTATGGAAGAAAAGAATGGTGTACTATATACGTGTTAATGTGTATGCAGGCATGCAGTGTGTCGGTGTGCATGTGCGAGGATAGTCACGGGCTGGTGTATTAGGCTGGACCTTTGGATTCTGCAGTGCATTCTCTCTTGAGAAAAGCCAGGTGCCTGAGATACACATTGAGCTAGGACAGGAGAACCAGAAGGCCACAAGAACGTGTGGAATTGCTAGGCTTGTTGTGTTCACCCGCACACATATGCCAAAGAGGCAGGCATCTAATTTGGATTATAATCCTGGATGCGACCAAAAGCCCAAACTTGTAACAGTGCTAAATAAACAGAAATGTTATGACATTGTAACCAGAGACTTCCTTTAAAGGAAGAAGGGGAAATCCATGAGACATTTCTTCTAGAAAAGAACAATCCCCACCATGAAAATATTATATTTAATAGACTACTACAGTAAATGTATATGGGCTTTCCTGCCCACTTCACCCATTCTCATATCTGCACCCAAACACATACACACACACACACACACTCTCTCCCTCTCTCACTCATACACTCAATGCTATTTGTACCAAAATATGCTTTCCTTAAAATCATAAGAACCACTTAACTCTTCACCCCCATGGACTTTACTAAATTTACACGTCACTTTGAAAGACGGACTTGTCTCTAATGAACTGGATGAGCATTCATTTCCGTGTCACGATGCCCCTGACACATTACACACTAACCATGCTGATTTGGAATTCATTCAGTATATAAGATTGCTAATCCTGTCATTTATTTTCCTGGTATAGATAGCCCAAAAGAAGATGTTTACTCACATCCCTTTGTGCTGTGGGTCTCTGGCTGATATTTATCAGCTTTGAGTCAGGAAAATGAATGCATTTTATTACTTGATGAATAGACCATTTGCAACTCTTAGACCTACAGGGAGGAAGAATATATTAATATCAAGTTGAACACTTTTACACTAAAATGTTTACTACAAATATTTTACATCAACTAATTGTTCGTGGTTGATAGGCCTTTGAGCAACATCCAGATTTAAACTAAACACTGAGCTTCATATGTAGCAGGAGAAGCAAATGTAGACATTCATATTCAGCTTTCTAAAGAACTTACTATAGAGGAGACTGCCACAGTAACCCCAGGGGACTGCAGTCCGGGGAGACAGGAAACAAACACTGCAGCTTCTCCTGAACCCTCACAATACCTTGAGGTTGTAATACAACCCCATTCCAAACCACAGTCAGCGTTCTGACTTCCCCAAGTCTGAGGGCAGGAAGCTGGTGCGGTGGGAGAGCTTGCAGGGAGGACCTGCTTCGAAGGGCAAATCAGGACAGACATCTCAGTGCTGGGTGCCACCCTCTAGTTCTGTTCTCAAAGCCATTCAACATGGCCAAGGAAGGTCCTGCTGATGTCCACCTCTGTGCCATAATCCTGTGCAAATATGCCATTGGATGCAAAAGGACGTATCCAGCATCCGTTCTGAAACTGTCATTCACTAACTGATGACCTAACCCCCTCCTCCAAAATTGTGCCCTTATGAATGAGAGAAATGTGAGCAGATGTATGCGAAAGGTCTTGGAAATATTGTTCAGGGTCACCACCATCAAGGGCCAAAGAGGGCTGGATATGCCTTGAGCTTCTAAAGCTAATCAGGGAATTCTTATCTTGAGTGAAATTGTGAGTCATGATAAACATAGCAACAGTTTCATCACCAATCAACAGAATACATTGTGCAATACGAATGTAATTTTTTTAAGACCATAGGTTTTTTTTTTTACAAAAGAATTCTCAACACACTTGAGAGTGCTTTCACAAATTACAAAAGTGATTAGCATGTGGGTGTTGCTATTATAACTAATCAAATACAGCGAGGATGCTTAGCTGATCATGATGAAAATCTCTTCAGCAGCAATTGTGTGACACTGATTTTAGAACAATCTCAAAGAGGAAAAGTCACCTTGGGATTGCCTTTTCATTTGAGAGAGAAGCACTAATTGACCAAAAACCATTAGAGAAGGGATTAGATCAATTTTAAGGAATTAGAAATAAAAACGATCAGAATGCTTCAGTGATGATACATGTTCTTGAGAGTAGAGAAGCTTGTCAGGAATATCTGGGCTGGGGAGACAGAGCTGGGAGCTTGCACGTGAGGGTTGAAAGCACCCTCGACCAATTCTACATCCCACTTTGAGAAGGATTCACTTAACATTGCCACAGAGTAGAGATGGGAAATCCTGATGATTGTGAGTGTAAGCTATCAGCAGCTGAGAACATTCTACTGAAGAATCCCCTTAAAATGCGTCCCATCCCCACAGTCTTAAAAATCCTGTCGCTCTTGACATTCTTTTTCAACCTCTTCAAGTAGGCCAAGATGACATTCTTTGCTTATCTGCTGTTTACCTATATTAAGAACAATGAAACTAAGCTGGCCTATTTCCTCAACCAACAGGAGGGCTTGTGGATTAAAGGTAGAACTGTTGTGAAGTTGTTAATCATATATCACGACGACCTTTCGGTTTAGAGCAACCTATGTGCATTCAGTCATGTCAGCCCACCAGAACAGATCATCAATACCTGATAGTAACCTGATAGTAACAATTACCTGATAATAACACAGTCAAAAGCACCACTGTATCCATCACAAACACCTTCTCACGCTCTGCTCACATTGGGAAGTGTCCTCAGGACTGATGTACACACTCTCACTTGTGTGCCCTTGACCTTGTGTGACCTTGATCGTGTGTACCCTCAACCCATGTGTCCACCCCTGCCTCCCCTTCCCTGTTTCACACATACTTCAATTATAATAAGTCCTCATCTTTCTTCTCTAGTTGACTGCTTCTCTGTCTAAAACTGTTATAAGGCTATTCCAAGTACTAAATTACATTTATCTCATCAAATAAAAACTCATTTTTTCTTTGCACAGAGATCATTCTGGAAGTTCCATGTCATTGTCACTCATGGTCATGGCCCATGTTTCTAAAATAAGTCACACATTTCTTTACCATAAGCATCTTCCAGAGCCTGGATGCAATCTGTCTATGTGTCCACAGCCTGTGAGAAACTCCCTCACAGCCTCTCGGCCTTCTTCCTGTCAGGCGCCAGGGCCTCTCTAGGCCTCACTGTGCTGTGTCTCTCTGCGGCAGGGGCGAGCATTCCTTGTCAGACGTTAGCAAGTGTCAGAATCACTTGAAGAGCCTGCACAGCGTGGACAGTCCCAGGCCAGTTCAGACACAGTAGGTAGTGGATTGGGGCTGGGGAATTATTGGCATCGGTTCAGGAGACTGTGGCTCAGGTGCCTTTTGATCACACTAACCAATGTTTCTCTTGACCCTCCTGTTTCAGGCCTTCCTGCTCCTTTTCTGTTACTTTTATCTTAGTCTGTGATCCCTCCTTGAATTAACCGTGTGTGTGTGTGTGTGTGTGTGTGTGTGTGTGTATGTGTGTGTGTGTGTGTGTGTGCACATGCATGCACGTGCATGCTCATGCGCCAATGCTGGGACTTGAACTCAAGGCCTCAGCATGGTCCTTGAGCTTTTGGGCTCAAGGCTGGCACTCTACCACTTGAGCCACGGCTCCTCTTCTGGCTTTTTGCTGGTTCGTTAAAGATAAGAGTCTCACAGACTGGCTTTGAGCTGCAATCCTTGGATCTCAGCCTTCTGAGTCGCTACTGTTTTAGGCGTAAGCCACTGGCACCAGGCTTGAATCTACCTTTCAAAATTCCTGCTTCACAGTCTAAGCCCCTCTCCGGGGTCCCCTCTAAGCTGAGCATCCAAAGCACATGGTGTTAGCTGATTGCTCTCTTCTGCACCTTAGAAATGCATTCCAATTTTTTCTACCAAGTCTCACAGGCACATAAAAACCCAAACTTAGTGCAGTCTTGATCCCAAGAATTTGGGAGCTTCCAAAAGTTGTTCAAATGGAAACCTCCTCCTCGTCATCTCCTTCTATCTCATATCATACCATCTGAGGACCAGTGCTATGAAATCCTCACTTTGTGGATAGGGAAACAGAGGCACAGGGAGGTTCTTCCTCCTGGCCAAAGCCGCAGCAAGTGACTGAGTCAGGAAGGCTCTGGGTGCCTTGGCGAGGGACCCAATGTGTGCTTCCACCAGTGGAGGCAACAGGAATAGGCCCCTCACCCACGCCAGGCACACTGGAGGTTCACCTTCTCCGTCCACAGGGTGAAAAAGCTGAAGGAGACGCTGGTGGCCGTGCAGCAGCTGGATAAGAACATGAGCAGCCTGCGGACATGGCTGGCTCACATCGAGTCAGAGCTGGCCAAGCCCATCGTCTACGATTCCTGTAACTCCGAAGAAATACAGAAGAAGCTGAATGAACAACAGGTAAATCTGAAAAACATTAGACAGCTCTCCGATGCTTGTGGTCCTGGCCAGGATATCGGGTGTGTGTGTGAGGTGGTGGAGGGATGGAGGATCAAGAGGAAGCAAGGCAGGATGGGTGAGAATGGATGGATTTATGTAGGAATATTAGAGGTCAATTTTTTTTCCAGCTCCCTAGCCTGGGCAGAGTCAGTCGATTAAAATAAATAACCCGTGTAGTGGTACATGTTTATAATCCCAGCTATTTGAGAGGTAGAGATCAAAAGGATCATGAGAGCTCGGCCTAGGCAAAAAGTTAGCGAAACTTCCTATGGCTCAAAGATCAAGCCCGGCATAGTGATGCACACCTAGGATTCCAGCTATGCAGTAGGCAGAAATAGGAAGATCATGGTCCAGGCAAATATCATTAGATCCTATCTGAAAAATAGTTCAAGCAAAAAGGATTGGACACGTGGTTTTAATAGATCACCTACCCTGAGTTGCGAATGTAGATCCTTACAGGAAGATCTTGGGTTTATGTGAGGATCTTATTTGATAGTAACCAATCTTTTTAATCTTTGTCTTTGTGAACATGCTCAGGCTAGCTTTTGTAATATATATTAAAAGTTATCAGTCCCTTGATATACTCTTCAACATAAGGGAATGAGCTTATGTTGAAGAGTTGAACTAAATTTACTTACAAAAATAGAGATATTTTTAAGAGAATTTATCTTCTAATATCTATAAACACTCCAAAATGTTTAAAGTATAACTAATATACTCAACCACAAGTCAGTCTTCTCACAGACTTCAGAAAATGATATTAAAGAGATAAATAGAAGGAATCACACTGAAAATATAAATCCTAGACTTCTGAATAGGTTGAAGAGTTGTTAGAACAAGAGAGAAGCTGGGGAAATTTGAGAACTAGCGCCCACAAAATTGAAAATCGTTCATAAGCAAGTCAGAAAATGATACTTGTACATCTCACTTTTAGCAATGGAACTTTGACTTAGAATAAACCTAGTCAAAAGCTTGTGCTAGTCCATGTTCACGCATTGTTTAAAAAAAGTACCTAAGCGAATCTGCTAATTAGGAGAAAAGGTTTATTTCCATGTATGGTGTCAGAGGCTTCATCTCTGTCTGCTTGGCCCTGGTTCCTTTGGGTTTGTGGCAGCTCTATACCATGGCGTTCACCTCCTGGGGGCCAGAATGCAACAAAATGAGAAATGTAAGGGGCTGGGCTTTAAATAGTGCCTTAAGGACACTCTCTCTTCCAGAGATTTGCCGTCCTTCCACCAGACCCACTGGCCTTCCAGTAGCACCAGAGGCTGTGGGGCAAGGCTGTAACACATGGGGCTTTGTGGAGACACTGTAGATGTGGACTATAGAAAGACAATGGAGAAAATAATGACTAGCGTGTGTGTATATTCTATGCTGTAAACATGAAGGGTGCACATAGGGAAGTTGGGGGAAATTCAATTCCTTATTTTTAATCGTGACCTCTCTATTTCTGTGCTACATGTTAAATTGTCCTCCGAGGAGACTGCTGCTAATAATATCATCATCATAGAATAAATAGATCTACTGCTTTCCACCATGGTGGAACTCACAATTTAGAACAGCTCACAGAGCTCCGAAGCTTAAATCTCAACCCTGGAGCCCCAGCTGTTAACAGGGGCAGATAGAATCCACTGATCGATCAGCTGATGAATGGATTGATTAATTTGAATGAAAGCAATGGATCAGTAGAATCTAGAGTGTGACTCAGCCCTCAGTCATAAAAGAAGGAAGCTGGCTTCATCCCGAGCCTCAACTATTCTGCTTGTATTTGTATTTTTCTAATTGCTCACATAGCCAAAGTATTTCTAGATCCATTTTTCTCATCCTGTACCACCAAGCTTGCCAGATTTCTTTTTTATTTTATTTATTTTTTTGTCAGTCGTGGGGCCTGAACTCTGGGCCTGGGCGCTGTCCCTCAGCTCTTCAGCTCAAGGCTAGCACTCTACCACTTGAGCCACAGTGCCACTTCTGACCTTTTCTGCTTATGTGGTGCTGAGGAATCAAACCCAGGGTCTCATGCATGCCAGGCAAGCACACTACCACTGAGCCACCTTCCCAACCCCACAAGCTTGCCAGATTTCATAAGCGAGGTTCCAGAAACTTCCTGTTATTCAAGGAAATGAAAAACAAGTCTGGGGTCAGGCTGGCCATGCAGCCATCCGGGAGCACTGCTGTGGTCTCTTGCACCTGCACGGATGTAATGGTGTTTCAGTCCAGCGCTCCGTGTTCCCATGCAGGAGCTGCAGAGGGACATAGAGAAGCACAGCACGGGCGTGGCCTCCGTCCTCAACCTGTGCGAGGTCCTGCTCCACGACTGCGATGCCTGCGCCACCGACGCCGAGTGTGACTCCATCCAGCAGGCCACGCGCAACCTGGACCGGCGCTGGAGAAACATCTGTGCCATGTCCATGGAGAGGAGGCTCAAGTGAGCTGCCCTGGGTGGTTAGGAGGGTGGAAAACCGTTCCCAGGCTCACTGTGTATTCCCCTTTGGTGACAACAGCATTGTCTTCTCCCATTGCTACCACCTGGGTTCAGGAGAGAGAATAAGAAGATTAAAGATACTACATACATATTAAAGCCAAGTTACATCTGATCTGATCAAAACGTAAAAATATGTCCTTGCCACACAGGTTAACATGACAGACTTTGTGGTTCTGAAAAGAGTACCATTCCTTTATTGAAAATCAGGCAAGAACTACATACCCGTGGCTCTGCCTGTAATCCTGACTACTCAGGAGGCTGAGATTGCAGTTCAAAGCCAGCCTGGGCAGGAAAGTCTGTGAGACTCTTATCACCAATGAGCCACCAGTAAGGTATGGAAGTGGAGCTCTGGCTCAAGTGAGTGGTAAAGTGCCAGCCTTGAACAACAACAAAAAATCCAGTCAGAGCATTCACAAAGTCCTGGGTGCAAACCCTAGTACTCACATCAACACACACACACACACACACACACACACACACACACGTTCATCCTTTATAATTTAAAATGGTAAAAGAAATCATGACGTGTCATTCCAAAATTATCATAATGCCCCAAAATAAAATCATTGTGCTCCCTGGCAGTTCTCGAAAGCCCGGCATCTCTAGAAAGCCCAATATTTGTCGTGGATGGCCTTGATGCCGGACTTCAATGAATTTTCCAGCCCCAAGGTTTCTTCCTGTAGAACACAGGCCTGAGGGTACACTAGCATGCTGTATTTCCTTGGAAACAACCAGGAGAATTCATGTACTGCACTTATAATATTCAATTTGAGTTAATTCCAAATCCAGCACTGCAGGACATGTGTGTGGGGGGGAAACAGCTGTTTTATTTTAGCTCACACAGTTGTCTCTCTCTCTCTCTCTCTCTCTCTCTCTCTCTCTGGTCAGTTCGGCTCAAGGCACAGTTATTGTTTGGCATGCAGCTGCTTATTTGGGCACTCTTAATCCCGTGGCAGGCATTGGACAGCACTGTGGAGTACAGTCTTAAATAATGCGAATCTGTTCTTTCATTTGCTGTCTCAGAATTGAAGAGACGTGGCGATTGTGGCAGAAGTTTTTGGATGACTATTCTCGTTTTGAAGATTGGCTGAAGATTTCAGAAAGGACAGCTGCTTTCCCCAGCTCTTCTGGGGTGCTCTATACCATTGCCAAGGAAGAACTAAAGAAATTTGAGGTGATTTATAGCTCCAAATATTGGATGCATTTTCTGCTCTGAGAGTAACCAACTGTGGTCAGTGCTCCAAGACATGAACTGACTGTCCGCCTATGCGTTATTTATTGACATCGCTGGCCGATCACTTGGTGGCCACCCTTAATATTGCCTTTTTAAGCAGGCGGAGGAGGCTGTGAACGAAGCCTTCACTGTAAGATTAACAAGAATTAGAAAATAAAGTAGTAATACAGAGAAATTCCAGCTGGGGCCTGGTGGTTTGTGCTTGTAATTGCAGCCTTTGGGAGATAGGGAGAGAAAATTGAGAGCCATCTTGAACTATGTAGCAGATAACAGGTTGAGAGGGGGGAGGGTGGGCTAGAAGAAATAAAAGGAAGAAAAGGAAGAGAAGGAAAAGGAGTAGGAAGAGGAGGGAGAGAGAAAGAAGGAGGGAGACACATTTACTGAGGCTTCCTGGGCGGGGGATAAATTTTGAGGGGTCATAAATGGAGAGCAATATGGATAGCAGCATGTTTAGACCCTGAAATAAATGTCATTCTGAGTTGAATGATGTAAACTACATCACACAAGTTCAGAAAAAAAAATACCTTTCCTTGGAAAAGTTCTAGGAAAAGCCTCAGTAAACAGCAGTGCACTGAGGTCAGCCTACACTGAAAGATTGGTGCTAGGGGAAGTGGCCCTGCTCTGTCTGTTACACTCAGCTTCAGAAAGGTCAGTCGTTCTAATTGGCTTATACTACAAAGCGGATTATATTAAATCCTCCTTGGTGATATTTTAGACTCAGATTTTATAGCAAAAGTTACCTATATGCTCATCTTCTACAGTGACTGGTTTTATCAGGCATCCTTAATCATGCAGCTAATGTTCTCAGGAGTAGGAATAATTTGCAGAGACAAATTTTTTGCTTAAGGACAAAGTCCTGAACCTGGTGAATTCTACCAATATTTTGGAGGGCCTCGGTTGTGCTGGGGTGCAATGTCCCATCACCCCAATAGGCAAGAATAGTCTTACAGAATTCCTTCGGGGTGGGGGATGAAGATTGAATTGAGCAGAAGTTCTTAAAGCAACGTTGAGAAGGAAAGTCATTTACAAGGCTGATATGTGATAGCATATAAACAGTGTCATGACCCAATCAAAACAAACCTGGGAGCATGTAGATGAGTATAGAGTCCAATTAATTATTTGTAAAACTTTTGGTGTAGCACTAGTATTACAGTCATTCATAAATCATATAAAAGAATTCAGGGGAAGTAAAGCTGGGAAAAGAGACATATTTACTTTTTTGCCAGTCAAATTATTGAATATTATTCTTGATTTGGTTCATTTAATAGCATGTGGTCTAGGAGAGTTTTTTTTTTAAATTTTATTGTCAAGGTGATGTACAGAGGGGGTTACAGTTACATAAGTAAGGTAGTGATTACATTTCTTGTCTAACTTGTTACCCCTTCCCTCATTTTTCTCCCGCTTTCCCTCTGTATTTTACTGAAGTGTTTTCTGCCTGCCTTCCTTCCTTCCTTCCTTTCTTCCTTCCTTCCTTTCTTCCTTCCTTCCTTCCTTCCTTCCTTCCTTTCTTCCTTCCTTCTCTCCCTCTCTCCCTTCCTTCTCTCCTTTCCTTCTTTTCAAATTTCAGTAATTCCATATAATAAAATAAATGAATAAAATAAAACATGAATTATATGTGTATACATGCATGTTTGAATATATATATATGTATTTATTTATTTGTAAATACAAGAATTTATTACTCCCCCCCACACACACTTTCTCTCTCTCTCTCTCTCTCTCTCTCTCTCTCTCTCTCTGAGGTTGAGTCCTTTGTGCTGGCTAAGCAGGAATTCTCACTGCTGATCCACGCCTCAGGCTTGAGTTTTTGCTCCTTAGTTTGTGATGTGATCTTGCTTCCTGCACAGGCACACATCTGGGCAGCATCTGCTTTTGTCAGACTTCCCTAGGATGACAGTCATGTATCACTGAGTCCAGCTCTTAGATGGGAGCGAAGGACCTTTTTCTTCCCACACTGGCCTGGAATCTGAATCAACAGTGTCAACCTCCCAAGTAACTGGGATTGCGGGTGTGAGGCACGGGCATCTGGCTCTTTCATGTTCTTGATGAATCCAACCTCCCCTCCCCTTCCCTCAGCCAAAGTGATGACTTTGCTCTTGCAAGGTGAATTATAGGGTCATACTGTCCTTAGGCGATCCCTTCTCCTCTGGCTATAGTCAGGCCTTTCTGTCTTCGGCACTACAGTATGGAAACCGAAAACCGGCAGGGAACTCTCCTCAACCCCTCACTCACTTCCCTTTTGCATCCCCAGGCTTTCCAGCGACAGGTCCACGAGAGCCTAACCCAGCTGGAGCTGATCAACAAGCAGTACCGCCGCCTGGCCAGAGAGAACCGCACGGATTCCGCCTGCAGCCTCAAACAGATGGTCCACGAAGGCAACCAGAGATGGGACAACCTGCAAAAGCGTGTCACGTCCATCTTGCGCAGACTCAAGGTTTTCAGACTCCTCATCTATGATTGACAGGTCCAGCGGGCAGGGGCAGGCTCCCTGCACTCAGTCCTGAGATGGGAAATCAGTGGTGGTGGAAGTTGGGGTGGCAGGAGGGGCAAGTGATCTTCCAAGGCAGTGGGGAGAGGAACGTGTTAAGAAAACGACTTCCCAAGAGAACATTGGTGGTGGCCGTGCCAGCTGGGCTCACGTGGACTTTAATATTTTTTCTCTCTCTCTTCCTTCTCTTGCACCAGCATTTTATTAGCCAGCGCGAGGAGTTTGAGACTGCCCGGGATAGCATTCTCGTCTGGTTAACAGAAATGGATCTGCAGCTCACTAACATCGAACATTTTTCTGAGTGTGATGTTCAAGCTAAAATAAAGCAACTCAAGGTAATAGGATGGCTCATTTTCAAATGACTGGTGTGAAGAAATCCCAGAGAGACAAGATCTGTGGACCCTTTTGTGGAGAACAGAAGAACTATTTTAAGAACAGTTCTTCATGAAGGCTGAAAAGTGACAGGAAGCATTTGTTTTAATTGTTTCAGCAGCCTAGATATTTACTTGGTAGTCAGATGAGAGGGACTGGCCTTTGTTTTCGTGTTTCTGCTAGTTTTGTTTGTGGGACCTACAAATAGTTCATTGACCCCCATGTTTCAGGATAATATTTCATCCTACACATTCTTCCTTCTTACATGCCAGCTCAGTTTTAAATACATTTTGTCCCTTGTACTGTATAATCCAAACATCGCAACTTGCTAGAAATTTAAATAGGAGGGCTGTGCATTGTTTACAAGGATTTCTGAAAAGGAAGAGCATCGAAGAAGTGGAACAATTTCAAGGTAGTTCATGAAGCTTTCCATAATATACATAGATAGATTTGGGGCAGTGGGAGAGGGGACCTTGGGGGTTAAAGATAGGACATAGTATATGCAAGGCACATACTATGCTACTTACTGAGTTATTCCCCTCAGAGATGAATTAAATATATATATAGATAGATAGATAGATATGTATATATAGATATATAAATGGTACCTTTGCCCTTTGGGTTGTTGTAATGAAATAAGAAAGTTACCCTTAATTGCAGATTATTAAGATGGAAGAATCGTAAGATTCTGCCATTCTGCCCAGTGCCTCCCCTTCCTCCCTCTACTCAACACCGTTCCCCAAATCATCCCCCAAACAAAGCAGCATGCAGGTCTTGCAAAAGGCCATTTCTACCAAGTTGAACTTCTTTTTGGACTCTGGAAGAATCTTAGAACTTGTTGCCCTAACCTCCCTTCCTGCACTGGCTGTCTTTTTCGTTACTGGAAAATTTTGACCCTTCTAAAGTTTGCTCCTATTCTTCTTATTATTTCAGCATTTTTTCTATTATTGAATTCAAATTTATCACCTGAATCTCATTCCCAGAGTTTAACTCTTTTGAACCACCTAGAATGAGTCCAAGTATTCTTCTCAGAATTCTTTGCTTCTCAAATAATCCTAACTTTATACTTTCATGCTTCAGTCCTGAAACAACAAGAAAATCATTCCAGAAGAATTTGTGGCATCGTTCTTTGGATAACTTCCTTTAGTCCATGCTTGATGTAGGATTTATATTGTGTGGTATAAATCAAAGTGTTCACAGCACACCACTTTTTTTTAAGCAAGAATCACCAATGCTATTCATATGCACTTGGTGGTGAGGTTGAATGTTTTCCCTCTTATTCTCTAACCCACATTATCTATTGGTAACTTTTATTACCCAGAGCTCTTTTCTAATGTTTCCTGGTTCCAGAATTTACAATTTCCTTTATAAAGAAATAAATAACCTCTTGGCTTGTCATTGTAGATGGTAAATTAAATATCCCCTCCATGGATTTTCTAATGCCATGAGAAACGCACAACTTACAATGATGTCAGGTTACTGGGCGTAGTTGAAAAGTTCATGTGGCATTGGTGTCCCCTTAGGCTTTCCAGCAGGAAATTTCATTAAACCACCACAAGATTGAGCAGATAATGACCCAAGGTGAACAGCTGATTGAAAAGAGTGAGCCCCTGGATGCGGCCGTCATCGAAGAGGAGCTGGACGAGCTCCGGCGCTACTGCCAGGAGGTGTTTGGGCGTGTGGAAAGATACCACAAGAAACTCATCCGCTTGCCTGTATGAACAATACATTTTTTTCAATATTATTGAATCTAGAGAGGATTAATTGTTTAGGTATGGATTCCAGGTTATCTCTGACTCTGCTGTCTAGGTTGGGTATGTTGGACAAGTTGATTCCCCTTTCTTGCCTCAGTTTCTCCAATTGTAAAATAAGCGAAACCACAATAATACCTGGTTAGAGAAAATTGTTTTGAGCATTAGCTGGATCAATGTACATAATAGATAGATAGATAGATAGATAGATAGATAGATAGATAGATAGATAGATAGATAGATAGATATAGTTAGAGATATAAGCTTTGAAAAGTACTTGGCACATACCTTCCTTGAAGAGGAAGGAGCTTCTAGAAGAAATAAGGAAATGAAGTGAGCATGTAAGCAGTTGCTCAGGTCACAGTTTATCTGTGGTGGATATTTTTTCTTCTATGTTTTCTTTTTTTTTTTGTCAGTCGTGGGGCTTGAACTCTGGGCTTGGGCACTGTCCTTGTGTCTTCAGCTCAAGGCGAGCGCTCTACCGCTTGAGCCACAGCACCACTTCCGGTTTTCTAGTGGTTTATTGGAGATAAGAGTCTCACGAACTTTCCTGCCCAGGCTGGCTTTGAACCACGATCCTCAGATCTCAGCCTCCTGAGTAGCTAGGATTACAGGCGTGAGCCACCGGCGCCCGGCTTCTTCTGTGTTTTCTAATCACCACCATGATCACCTCACATCTCTAGTGATGTTATTACAGGATTTGTGATAAGATATATTTTATATCTGGAATATAAGGCACAGAAAACAACCTAAGGTTTTTTTGTTTAATTTTGTTTTGTTTTGTTTTTGTGTTAGTACTCAGGCTTGAACTCAGAACTTCAAGCTCTCACTAGGCATTTTTGCCACTTGAGCCATACCTCCCCTTCCAGGTTTTTGCTGGCTAATTGGAGATAAGAGTCTCAGGGACTCTTCTGCATGGGCCAGCCATAGGCACAATTCTCAGATCTCAGCCTCCAGAGCAGCTAGAACTACAGGTGTGAGCCACTAGCACCCAGCTTGAGCTTAAGTTTATGAATATTATTTTTCTTATTCCTGATATGTGCCATCATGTACCTGTGTTTCCGGCCTGATACTAGGCCATCTTTGTTGACATGATATAATCTTCTCACATGGTTCTTTGAAGGAGACTTTAATATTAGTCCCCCTTCCCATGGAAGCATGTATAGACAAATGTTGTAAGATTTCTGTGAAGCGATGAGAAGTTTCTTATGTATTCGCTGCTGGGACATTCAGACTTATCCCCACCTGGTAGGCAGTGGCCTAGTGAGCTTGAGATCCTTGAGAATTCAGAACCTGGGAGGTTGTGGGTCTCGGAGCCCTGTTGTGATTCTGCTGGCTTCACTTCCTAACTGTCTAGCTGCCTGATGATGAGCATGATCTCTCTGATCGGGAGATGGAGCTGGATGACTCTGCAGCTCTCTCGGACCTGCGCTGGCAAGATCCATCTGCAGATGGTGTGCCCTCCCCGCAGCCCTCCTCCAACCCTTCCCTCTCACTCCCCCAACCTCTCCGGAGCGAGCGATCTGGACGTGATACCCCGGCCAGTGTGGACTCCATCCCCCTGGAGTGGGACCATGACTATGACCTCAGTCGTGACCTGGAGTCTGCGGTCTCCAGAACTCTGCCCTCTGAGGATGAGGAGGGTCAGGAAGACAAGGATTTCTACCTCAGGGGAGCTGTTGGCTTATCAGGTAGGAACAAGCCTGTTCTGTGGGGGGAATGAACCCTGTGCCAGAGCCATATCTGCTAGCCAGACTCAGCTTCCATGAAATGGCCAGCACGGGAATAGCCGTGTGCTGTAGCGCAGAATGGAAATGGGGGGTGCCAACGTGGCGCTGGGAACAGAGGCTTCATGGGAGACATTTTTGAGCTGAGACCAGAGGGATGAATAAACAGCTGGTCAAGCACAAAGGAATGGGTAGTCCAGTCAACCTTTGGTGATTCACCTTGGTGCTTGTAGTCATCTGGAGTTTGCCCAGAATGACAAGGCGGTAGGCTGGGTAACACCCAAGTGGGCAGACTGAAGGCTGGACAAGGGCCTGATCATGAATTGGCCTTTTCACTATGGGGAGGAGTTCGGCTGTCGTTCTGAAGGCAGTAAGAAGCCACGGTGGGGGTCTAAGGAGGGAGGTGTTGCGATCAGATGCATGGTTTTACGTTGTTGTGACTGTGTGGACACTGTACGAAGAGAGCATAGTTAGAACAAGAGAATTCTGATGAAAATGTTGTATAATCCAGGACAGAGATAGGATGGCAGCCTGAACGAAGAAAGGGCAGTGGTTCTAGAGAGAATTGAAGGTGGGTAGAAATCATGAGGACTGACTGAGGTGGAAATGGCATTGTGGTATGGGCATCTAGGTGGTGAAAGATGCAGTTGGTTCTGTCCTGAGGACCACAGAGGGAGAGAATGTTGTGGATGGGAGGCAGGTGTTGAGATGGGGTTTCTGAGCTTTCCTGTTTACATCCTGATTTCCAGACAGTTGTAGAATTTCTGGACACACTAATCCAGGATTAAAAGTATGAATCTCAAGTCCTGGACCTGGAAATGCAGTTTATCTATCCACATGTAAATGATAATTGTCCCGCGTAGGTGGAAGGAATGATACAGGTGAAGAATCTAGAAAGAAACAAGGAGGACAAAAAAATCCAGCAACATAGATAGTAAAGAGTTGGATAGAAAAGAAGTATTGTACAGAAGGTGTGTCACAATAGAAAAAGTGATTTGACTTGTGTCACCTGTGAATCACTAGAGGAGTGCCTACAGTTAATACTGGGTTTCTGCTGCGTTAGACCTGGATTCTTAAACATGTGACATTGTTCTAAAAACCGTGCCTTACATTTCTAATTCCTTGTCACTAGAGCCCGGTAAGAGGCCCGGGATATCAACAGTAGCACTGTCTTGATCTATACATAGCCACAGGTGACCATGGTGTAGTAAAATGTGTCAGTAGAGATGGCAGGAGATAGGAAGTACACTTCCAGGCATGCACTCATTCCAAAGACTGCACAAAGCAAGCAACAAAATAATAATATTTATGCGAATGCATGGCATATTTTGGATATCTTGTGTCGGTAAGGTTTAGCGTTAAGGTTGATTTTGCCTGTTCATCACCGTTCTAATGTATTCAGCCTCTAAAATGACATACGTTGTTCACAAGGAGATACAGAAGACAGCACAGTTTTAGAAAGGTGTGGGTTAAAATCCCTGTTCTGTCAATTCCTACCTGTGTAAACTTGGATAAGTAACTTTCGTGCCTGTGGATGGCAGTTTCCCCATCTGTAAATGGGCATGATTCAACCCAGCGTCCCTTGGGGTCCTAAGAGGATGACTGTTCCAGGCTAGCAAGCCCTCTGGGTCAGTGTCAGGGGAGCGTGTGAGTGTGCCGCAGTGTGCCCAGGGGCTGTCTGTCTACAATGACTAACTTCCTCATTTCTCCCAAGGACAGTTCTTTTCCTATCACAGGAGAATCCATGTTTCTACTTAAGACTCTGATCTCGTTGCAGATATAGTGATCCCCGAATGCCCCGAGGCCTATGTAAAACTCACAGAAAATGCCATCAGAAATACCTCTGGTAGGCATAAAATTCCAGCCACTCACCTCTTTCTTTCCTATAACAAGCCTCCTTCCTCAGCACTACTGCCGAATCTCTCATGGCTGTTGGGACTCAAGCACGCTGAGGCCCAGCCTTCCTCTCTTCCTGCTGTGCTAGGAAAAAAGAAAATAGCTGGTCAGTCCCTCAGAATTCTGTATCAATATTGCAAGGAAGTCACCTCCCAGCTTGTCCAGTGGGACTCAGCCCTGCTGAGGCTCTAGCGCTGATGCTCACTTGGCAACGGAAAATAGGAGCAAGCAAATTAACCACCAAAAAGCCAGAAGTGGGGCTGTGACTCAGGCTGTAAGCGCGACAACAGACTTGAGTGAAAAAAAGCTAAGAGTCAGGGCCTGGGCCTTGAATTCAAACCCCAGTACTGTCACACACACACACACACACACACACACACACAAAGCATAACCTCTTCTGCTGGCTAAGAGGTGACAGAAAGAGCGTGACAAGTCAGAGCTTCCTGATTCAGAAGAACCTCCCACTCCTTACACTCGGATTGCATGGAGGAGGCAGATGCTTTGGGCCAATCAGAACGGATCACAGACACCCAGCCTGCTGACACCTTTAGCCACGTACACTCCCCGATCTGACCCTTTAAACGTCTAACCCACTGAATCTATGGTACTTAATCTGCTTCATAATTAATTACCCCCCCTCCCACTCATCCTTTCTCTGCTACCAGCTGAAATAATTTCTGAAACTTCTTCAATGTCAAGCTTGCAATTAGTCACACGGTATGGGCAATAACGCATGTGATCGGCAGAGGCTTGGGGTGGTAATGCTGGGTGTGATTGACACTGCAGGAGATCCTGGTGCCTTTGAGTCACAGATCCGACAACTGGACACAGCCCTAGAGGATGGCCGCTTCCAGATGCGGCCAGCCGAAAACACCTTCCGCAGCAAAGCTCCCACGGGCCCGGAGCTAGACTCCAGCTACAAAGGCTACGTGAGTGTCTTGATCCTCATCCCCCCAACCTGTGCCTGGATCACTGGTGTGTGACCAAGAATGGCCCGTCTGCACCCTGGGGGCTGTAGCAGTGCTCCAGACACCGCAGTGTCCTTGAACTCATGAATATGGTGGTGCGAGACAAAGCCTTGTGCTGTTGGAGATGACCTGGTCTGTTTCCAGACCCCAGAGTCCATTGTCCTCACCGGCCTGTTCCGCTGAGTGCTTGCTCAACCCATGTTAGTTGGATGAAGCAAAATGTTCTTGGCTCCCAAGTATCGTTAGGCATTTTTCCAAATTTATGTAAGAATATTTGGACCAAGGTTCACCTTGGAAGAGGAGATTTAGTTAATAGATTACTGAAATGGATTTTTTTTCAGTTTTTTTCCCTAGGTTTTTGATTCATTTAATGACTGTGGGAATGTTTGTTGGCTTTTGATTTTTGGTTTTTGGCAATGCTAGGCATCAAACCAGACCTCACCTACACAGGCAACATCTCAGTATTTTCTGAGGAGAAAACAATTCTACTCATAACTTACAGTGCTATTATACTGACCTCTGGATTGTGTAATATTTAGTTTTGGTAGCACTGGGATTTGAACTCAGGATCTGATGCTTGTTAGAGGTGCTCTACTAATGAGCCATGCCACCATCACTTTTTATACTGGTTATGTGGGGATAAAATCTTACTTTCTGCTTGGACACACACCTGGACAGCAAACCTCCTCTTTTTTGTCCCCTGCCATTACTGGAATGACAGGTGCATGCCCCCACACCAAGATGCTATTTGCTATGACGGTGTCTCACAGACTTTGCTTCCTGAGGCTGGTCTGGAACCATCCTCCTCCTAATATTAGCCTTGTAAATAGCCAGGATGACAGATGCATGTTACTGTGCCTGGCTAGTGGTTGAGAAGGAGTCTCATGTGTAATGCCTAAGCTGATCTCAAAACTGGATCCTCCCAATCTCTGCCTTCCAACTAGCTAGGATTGCAAGGTATGAGCCACTGGTGCCCAGCTGTGAAAGCCCTTTTGTGAAGTACAGTGTGTGTGTGTATGTGTGTGTGTGTGTGTGTGTGTGTGTGTGTGTGTGTGTGTGTGTGTGTACGGTTACTGGGGTTTGAATTCAGGGACTCCAGCAGGAACTTTACTATTTGACCATGCCCCTTGCCCTGATAGTTTTATAATGACTATACTGATTGCTGAAATTACATCTGTGATTTCATTTAACTTCAATCAAAAGCAATCAAAATACCAGGTGCTAGTGGCTCCTGCTTACAATCCTCACTGTTCAGGAAGCTGAGGTCTGAAGACTGCAGTTTGAAGCCATGCTGGACAGAAAGTCTGGGAGACATGTCTCCAATTAACCACAAAAAAACTGGAAGTGGAGCTGTGGCTCCAATAGTAGAGAGCTATCCTTGAGCAAAAAAGCTCAGGGACAGAGCCCAGGTCCTGAGTTCAATACCAATGACCACATAAATACACACACACACACACACACACATACATACATACATACAAATAGCTAGCATTGGGATTTATTAAAGACTTTGAGAGATAACATTATGAACCAAATAGCAGGATTGTCTTGAAATTGTTTGTTACCTTTTATTTTGTTTAATGATATGATATAAGATTTTATCAGGCTCACCTCAAACTCTCAACCCCCCTACCTCAGTCTGCTGAGAGCTAATATTACAGGTGTACACCACCATGCTCTGCTATTTGTTCTTTTAACCTTAACCTTTTAATACTATAGATGGTATTAAAGGAGAAGTTGGAAGCTATATCTTTGATTTTTAGAATTTAATCCTTTGATACCAATTAGACTTTGCTTTAAATTTTCTCCTAAAATAGTTGGTTTTAGTATTGCTTTATACTCTTAAACATTACAGTTATTTAATATGGAAATATTCCCATGAGATTTGTGGGATATTAGTTCTTCCATATTTCAATTTAAGGAAGAAAATGAGGAAGAAACTTGCCCAAGCATGAAACATTGTTTTGCCAGTTGTGGGCTTCTGAGTTTGAAGACCCGGATGGGTTTCATCTCTTTTGATTCAGGAGTTTAGAAGAAAATGTGAGGGTTTTGCACACACAAAAAATCATGTTGTGAATATATCCTTGGGGGTTTGCTGCTTGTGTTCATGACTGTTGCTTGGTGGACCTACATGCTTTTAGACTGTACTTTGTTGTATGTGTGTACCTATATTGAGGCTTGAATTCAGGGTCTCAGGCTTAGCTTTTTCTTTTTTCTTTCTTAATTTTTTTGTGCTACATCTGGCACTCTACCATTTGAGCCACATGTCACTTCCTGCCTTTTGCTGATAATTGGAGATATGAGGCTCATGGACTTATTCTGACTTCAAACCAGGATTCCTCACATTTTTGCTTCCTAGGTAGCTAGGCCTGAGCCCCCAGCTAAGCTGTACTTACATTTTGTTGAGTGGCAAGAGGAAGTAGAATGCAGTTACTGCTCTTGTTAAGGAACCACAAGAAAGTGCTTATGAGTTGATAGCGACTTCCCTTCCTTCCTCCTTCCTCCCTCTACTCTCCTTCCCTTCCTCCCCCCTCTTTCTCCCTCTCCCTCTCCCTCTTTCTATCCCTGTCTAAACAGATGAAACTCCTTGGTGAATGCAGTGGCACCATCGATTCAGTGAGGAGACTGGAGCACAAACTGAAGGAAGAAGAGGAGAACTTTCCTGGCTTTGTTAACTTAAACAGTACGGAAACCCAGACAGCTGGTGAGTGTGTTTTGTTCTGTTCAAATAACTGTGAAATAGCAAGAGTCTGAGGGACTGGGCACATCTCCGCACTCCATTGAGTTCTCTTGCTAATCTAGTCTGAAACTTCTCACTTGGTCTAATGATCTTCTGTGATGGAGGAAAGAGGCAGAGAGCTTCTGCTGCTTCACTTATGATAATGTGCCATCTTGAATGGAGCTAGGCACCTTGTCCTGTTGTATGAAAGACTGATTCACATGCTTGCTTATTTCACAAAGCTCAGCACAGTATTAAATCCATTTTTTTCACTCTATAAATATGACAGAAGCAAATGCATTGCCCTCATCTAACTGTTTACACGTGACAACAGAAATGCCCAGAGGAATCCCTTTGCTTTCCTTTGCTTATCACCAATGTATGTTTAAAGCATTTCCTAAATACGGCAGGTACAGAGACATCTTCACTGTTGTGCGCATGTCCTGACAGGTGTGATCGACAGATGGGAGCTCCTGCAGGCTCAGGCCCTGAGCAAGGACCTGAGGATGAAGAAGTGGCAGCAGTTCAACTCTGACCTGAACAACATCTGGGCCTGGCTCGGGGAGACGGAGGAGGAACTGGACCGGCTGCAACATCTGCAGCTCAGCACTGACATCCAGACCATCGAGCTCCAGATCAAAAAGCTAAAGGTAGCCGCCTCCTGCCTTTTCTACCTGGGCCAAACAGAACCCCCCATCTTGTGAAACCCCACCTATAGCAGCAGAGAAACGTCAACCAAAGACGACCCAGAATGCTCACTGTGCCCCAGCCATCCAAATCCCAGTGAGTCATAGACACAGCTTCATAGGCATGGAACTCCTTGTAGAACGATCCACCTTATCTACCATTGAATGACCAGTTAAAGTTTCATGTAAGGTCTAGGTACCTCTGAGATCTATTTAAGCTCTTGGTAAGGGAAATCTAACTAAAGTCCAGCACATCTCTGTCGAGAGCTGGAAAGAAATCCTTTCTAAGACCGTATCTCTGTCATCTTGTGGGCGACCTGTTGCAATCATTTGACCTTGAATGGTCCACACTTGTGAATGTGGCTACTGTGGTGGCCATAGCAATTTTATGGTACGGAATAAAACAAAACACAAGTGTTGACTATTTGTGGTCAAGCACCTGCCATTTTGCCTTTGGTTTTGGCGTGCACAAATGGCCTGCCTTTATGCCAGCTCTAGGTCTTGGAAATGCTCCTGGGCCTGAATTGCATTCACAGGTTAAAGCGTGGGGGCATCGCATGGTCTCAGAGCGTGTTTTTTTAATCAGTTGTTGGACTGCTCCTGGTGTTGTTTGTTCGTTTGTTTGTAGAACATCAGATGTATTTTTCAGAGTATGACTACCCCAGATCTCCAGACACAGGATGAAGTGTGAGCCTTTTGTGTTCCTTTTGGATATGCTGTTTAATGGGGTTGATATTTTGGTAGCATTCCATTGGCAGTTGTGTTGTCTTGCTTTTACGTTTTCAGAAAGAGAAATGAGCCTTCTCCACAGTTATCCCCACAGTTGCATCTTATGGTAAAGTATCTGTCCCGACCCCAGGAATTTCAGAAACAATACTGCATGAAAGATGCAATTTACAGACTCTTTGTAATGACACACTTTTTTCTCTGTAGTCTTTAAATGACTTCAGTTAGTGTTGCATTAGAGCCAAATTCCTTGAAATAGTTATAAAACAAGTGTTAGCCAGGATCTAAGACCCCATGAGATGAAAGCAGAGAAATAAGCGCCTGGAAGTATTATTATCAGGAAGTATATTATAAGGGTAGGGAGAGCCATTCTCCTCAGCACCTTTCCCCAATTCTTCCTATGTGTTCTGTTGATATATTGCTGGAATAAATAAGTGCTTTCCACAATATCTCTTCGTCTTATGCTCTCTCTGTGGTACAGAACATCAAGAATCTGCTGATAAATGAAAGCATTCGTCACACTGGGAATATAACCAAACTTTTAAGAAATTGCAAGTGAGAAACTATAAATAAATGCAGCTTGCATAGTTGGGATTTGGAGATTTCTGGGATTTCTGGGGTTCACCCCAACTTGTTTAAATACTTGTGGATTTTGAAGCAGAACTTGATTATTTAAAAAATTAATGTATGAGTCTGAGTTCAAATTCTTAGAATTGAGCTCTGAAATGCATAAAGCCAAAGGTTAGTTGTAAAAGCTGGGCACCGGTGGCTCATGCCTGTAACTGAGCTACTTGAGAGGCTGAGCTCTGAGGATCAAGGTTTGAAGTCAGCTAGGGAAGAAAAGTCCATAAGACTCTTATCTACAATGAACCACACACAAAAAAATACCCCAGAAGTTGAAGTGTGTCTCAAGTGGTAGAGTGGTAGCCATTAGCAAAAAAAAAAAAAAAAAGTTAAATGAGAGCATGAGGCCCTGAATTCAAGCTCCACTACCAGCACAAATAAAAGGATTGTCTGTTTCATTTGTGAAGTCAGACTAAACAGGTTAGCTCAGGAAATCCCTATTTATTTTTCTGCCATCCCAAGAATGTGGCCTGAGACACGGTGGTGCTCACTGGGTCTCAAGAAGAAACACACATTTCTTAAGCCATTTGTTTTCTAGTGACCTAGGATGAGTATACTAAAAAAAAAAAAAGTGTTTTTTAAACAAGGTTCCTCTTGCTCAATACTAGCAGAGCCACATTTGATTTGGTTCGGTTTGGTTTTGCATGGTGTTGAGTTACTCTGTCTCTTGGGCCACTGGGCAGGGTGATGGTTGCTTCCAGCAAAGCTCCCCTCCATTTTATTTATCCTGTCCATATCTGATATTTAACTCTAGTTCCATAACCTCCGCAAATGTTGTCATGAATTAATGGTCAGTCTTTGTTCGTATGTACTCTTGACAAATGTGGGTGTATCCCAGGAATCATGCATGGTATACACCTCTAATCCCAGCACACAGGAGGCTGAGACAGGAGGATTGAGCATTCAAGTCAGCATGGGCTACATAGCGAGCTCTTGTCTCACACACAAAAAAAAAAAAACAAGAAAAAAATGTAGATTTGTATGTGTGTGTGTGTGTGTGTGTGTGTGTGTGTGTGTGTGTGTGTGTGTGTGAATGCTATAGTATTTCCACTATCATCCCATCTCAACCATCCCTCAAAACCCATCCCTGAGGTCCAGTGGTAGATTCTCAGTGTCTTCTAACTGCAGAGTGATTCTCAGTGACCTGCACCCTCCTGTCTCTGGTCTAGCCATCCTATGAAGGCCAGTTTTAATTAAGGAATCTTCTCCTTTGACTGAAACATTTTGCAGAGTCTTAGACTACTTGGATTTATTTTTAATGCATTCTCCACCGCGGCAGGAGCTGCAGAAAGCCGTGGACCACCGCAAGGCCATCATCCTCTCCATCAACCTGTGCAGCTCTGAGTTCACCCAGGCGGACACCAAGGAGAGCCGGGACCTGCAGGACCGCCTGTCGCAGATGAACGGTCGCTGGGACCGCGTTTGCTCTTCGCTGGAGGACTGGCGCAGCCTGCTGCAGGATGCTCTGATGCAGTGCCAGGTCGGTGGGCCTGGGGACACATTGTGCCTGGTGCCAAACCCTTACCGCCACAGTTAACTTGAAGGATACACTCGCTTGCTCCCTGAAATCAGTGTCTGAGTGAGGTGACTTACCATTTTAGTGGAGAACCTGGAGATGAACCAGGATGCAAAACCTTTTCGTCCATTTTCCATCTGGCTAAAAAGAGACTATTCCCTAGCTGGATACCTGTGGCTCATACCTGGACTCCTAATTACTCAGAAGGCTGAGATCTGAGGATCATGGTTTGAAGCCAACCCTGTCAGGAAAGCTTGTGAGACTCTTATCACCAAGTAACCACTAACAAACCAGAAATAGAGTTGTAACTCAAGTGGTAGAGCTCCAGCCTTGGGCAAAAAATGCTAAGAGAAAATGCCCAAGTTCAAGACATACACACACACACACACACACACACACACACACACACACACAACTATTCCCTTATTTGTCTCTGTCCTGCCATTCCTTCTTTGACTCGTTTGTTTATTTCACTCATCTCCAAAACACACTGCCAGAGCAGGTAGGCAAATATTTCTTGGACATGAAGTAAGCATCATAGATATTTCTTCATCCATCCATATCACCATTATTTGCTACGTTTCCACAGCACGCTAGACAGGACACCAAGCAGTCAAATACAGCATAACCTCTTACGTTGTTGGGAAGACAAAACAAATAAATTGCCAGGTAATCATTAAGCAAGATGCTTAACAGACACTGGTGATAGGGGTGACTGTGTAAGCTCACTTGAGGAAGGCGGCCAGAGCAGTTCTGGTGGTCTTTGAGCTGACATAGAAAAGACACTGCTGGGAAAGAGAAACACCAACTGTCCCAGAAGCAGGAACAGAAAAGCACCTAGAGAGGCCAGAGTGTAACAGGAAGTGATGAGGAATGGAGAAGCCAATTGTAGGTCTGAGCTGGGAGTTTGGAAAATATTCTAAGCCCCATGGCATAGGGAAGGTGTAGTAGCCTGCCTTGCTCTTCTTGTCCAAAATGATCCCTGTACCTGTGCATTGAATAAATGAGCAAATGGATGGACAGAGGGAAATTAGGCCAAGACCTTCACATATGGGAAAGATGGGAAAACACAGAGCACAAGAGAGTTGCTTCCTTTCAGCATATCTGTTAGCACTACTCTTCTTTGGAAAAGTTAGATATTTTTGATGCCAACTTACTTTATGTCTACATGTTTTCCCAAAGGATAGAACCAATGCTTTTGTTCTGATCATTGTAACAGTACCAGGTCCTGTTGTTCATCTGATTGGACAAAATGAAGTGTCCACACCAGTGAGAGCTATTGGAAAGAATGGTAATATATTCTAGAAGAAAATTAAGCTCAGTTATTCATAGTTACTTTATACTCTTGCATTTTCAAAGGATTTCCATGAAATGAGCCATGGGTTGCTTCTCATGCTGGAGAACATTGACAGAAGGAAAAATGAAATTGTCCCAATTGAGTCTCACCTTGATCCTGAGATACTGCAGGACCATCATAGACAGCTCATGGTAAGAATGCTGGAGGGGCCTCTCTTTATTTCTAGCAAAGGTGTATATTTTGACCATTGGTCTCTTACCCTCTCATTTAAGCCTCTAAGTTAATTCCTTAGAGTTTCCAATCTCTGCAAAATGACCATGCTTACACCCCTTCTGCCAGCTTTAGCCTTGGTTCAGTTACAGACATCTGTCCTGAATTTCAAGTAATTTGTCTTTATTAAGACCACTTTTTGATAACTTGTCCTTATTTTTAATTTGAATTCAATAGTATAGTTTGTAGCTAACTGTAAAAGGATTATAAAACTGCCCAAATAGTTATTTAAGTCTTTTATGGGAGGGGAGGAGTTACTTAGGTTTAAACTAAGGACTTTTCACTTGCTAAGCTAGTACTCTACCATTTGAACCATACCTCCAGCCCTGCTTTTCACTAGTTACTTTAGATATGGAATCTACTGAACTTTTCTGCCCATACTTGCCCCAAACTGTGATTCTTCATATCTCAACTTCTGAATAGGTAGGATTATCGGCATGAGCCACAAGCACTAAGCTTTTCTTCGTTCTTTTTTTAAAATTATTCTTTTCATGATAAATTAAATATAATGGTTCCTGAAAACTTAGGAAAAAAGGAAGGTGAAGGGTTACTTTATTGTCATAAGTGGGCACAAATCATACTGTCTCATGCACTAAATTCAAACAAAGTTACTGTGCAGATTCTTGGGGGGGGATATAGTGCTCTGTGTATGCAAATGAATTTTACAGAAGATAAAGAATAGTATTTGAGCTCCATTAGAATGAAAAAAATGTTTTGTCTTTTGCAGCTTTCTGTATTTTTAAAATGATCTGTCTTCACATTCAACACTTAACAACCTAAAGGAGCAATCACTAGCTTTTAATTCAGTACTAGAAAGTCATAGAAAGCAAGAGGAAATTGCTGTACAATTGTATTTTTACTCAGTTTTAACCTTTGCCATTACGCTGTGAGTGATGAATTACCTTGTATTTTTTTAAAGTCTTAATTAGATATCAGTCTGGTCAGACATACTTGAGTTTTGCTATTTCCTGGTAATCATGTGTGGTGTTTTTTTTTCTGTTGTTTAAAAGACGATGGTATGCTTCATTTGCATAGTACTTTAAATACCTCTGCATCCATTACCCAATAGAAATCTTCCAATGATGTTACTGTGGATAGAAAACATAGGCCTCCTCCCATGAGTAAACAGAATCAGAAGGTTCAGAGGCCTTTTGCAAAGTAATTTTAGGATAGCCAAAAATAAAACATAATCCCCACGTCTCTGCCATAGTTGTGGCCTCCTTTAGAGTGTGAACGTCACATGCTGACACGCGTGTGTGACCACCCACTTTGAGAACTTTGTCCAACTATCAAAACTCCTTACGTGATACTTCCTTTTATGTGCACAGCAAATAAAGCGAGAGCTGCTGGAGTCCCAGCACAGAGTAGCCTCACTGCAAGACATGTCTCGCCAACTCCTGGTGAATGCTGAAGGTGCAGACTGTCTGGAAGCCAAAGAAAAAGTCCATGTTATTGGAAACCGGCTCAAACTCCTCTTGAAGGAGGTCAGTCATCATATCAAGGACCTGGAGAAGGTCCTGGACATGTCAAGCAGTCAGCAGGTATGCCCTCTTCAGGCTTCAGAGAATCACATTCTTACAAGAGGTCAAAGTACAGCGTGTCCACCCATGATGGATTGTCCACTGTAGCACATGTCAGGATGGGGAATCTCCTCCCAGCTACTGTGCTTCCAAATCCTTCCTCAGAACACAAAAGCAAACTTATATAATACATATATTATATTATAGTACAACACTGCCTTGGATTCTATTAATTACAAAAGATCTAGCTCCTATCAGTACACTACTCTTACCACAACTACCCACGTGACATTTGGTTTCACCCTGCTTATTTAAGACTTTACACATGACTAGTTAGCCATGATGGAACAAACCAACCGTTGCGTTTAAGTTTTGAAGTCTACACCTATAAATCTCAAATCTCCTCATGCATGTATTAGTAACTCATTCACAGATAATGGTCCTCTGCTCCTTTGTCTTCCCATTGTCCTTGACTATTGTGATGTATGTACACGGTTAGATTTCCAGCACTCATGCTCTGAATAGCAGCCAAGACAGAGGTAATCCAATTTCTCTGATTCTGTAAGCTAGACTCCTGGAAGATAGTCATTTGTCCCTGAGTTAAATGAATGGAATTCTAGCTGGCTTAAATGATCTGTAGCTGTCAAAACAGACTCCTTTGCCTCCCAAGAGGTATCAATCCATGTACATCTATGTCCCAAACTAATAATGCTACAATAATTCCACTATGGTTGTATTTTTCAGAAGGACCAAACTTACAGCCAGGAAATCCCAGTACACTGGAAGAATGAGCTCTCTGTGTAGTGTCTGGTTGCCTTTCTCCCGAGGAGTGGTCTCATATGTATGGTGGAGATACAGGAATGGATAGGGCTGGTGTAGGCAATGTGTTGTGCATAGGGAGGCCCCATGGCTTTGGGTCGTGGAGTTGTTAAAGGACTCTTTCTCTTGTAGGATTTGTCTTCCTGGTCTTCCGCTGATGAGCTGGACACATCAGGTTCTGTGAGTCCCACGTCAGGAAGAAGCACCCCAAACAGACAGAAATCGGTAACTCTGCACTGGTCCTTGTCAGCTAGTCCATGGGTCGGGGGAAGTGGGAAACACAGGGGAATGGCAGCATTTGTGCACACCGCAGGGTCCACAGGCTTGAAGAAAGAGTCCCTAAGCAGGAGAGGGTTGTCCCCAGTGTAGAACTGCTTCCCCAGCCCCACGACAGGCCCTTCCACCACATGCTCAGGAATGGAAAACAGCTATTTTGTTTATCCAAAGATTTGGGGCTCAATGTGTGGCTGGCATGCAGGAAGAAAAGTTACTTTTTTTGCTCCCATGGCCATTTCTAGAATGCACACATGGTGCACGTGGGTCCCTTTGGTGGCTCCTTCCATCCAACCACCACCACCACCATACCCACCTATCAAAGGTAGGCTGCCACATGCGAAAGGCCTCAGCTGTGAACATCTAATGAGTCCACTGAATGGATGAGTGGATGTCTTACTGATTCTCAAGCACAGAGGCTTCAGAACAGTGGCCTTTGAAGGGTTTGGGTGTCTGTACTAACCCTAAAAATGTGGCAGCTATCCAGCTGACCCCCACAAAGCCCGTGGTGGGTCTGCCTCACAGAACGCAGGGAGAGAAGGCAAACTTGGCCCCTGCTCCCCTCTATACCTTGACTTCTCTGTGTAATTAAAAGCTTGTTTTCGTTTTGTTCCTTCATTTTTAGTTTTTGGTCTAGCTTTATGATTATATGCATTCCATTTCCCCCTTAGTTTTTAGAAGTAATGATTTCATTTGTACTTTTTTGTTTAAATACACTTACGTTCTATGCTGATAAATGTATTATCCTTCTTAGGACTGTTTTATTTTTACTACATTCACTAGTTTCCTATAGATCCTAGTTTAAGAATGTGAAGGAATACTGGCTTTTCAATTCAAATTTTAGCCTTGATTTTTCTTGGATACTGTAATTTGTTGGGCTTCATTACTACCCAAAATTGCATCATATTACTACCCAAAATTAATGTTTTTATCTTCTAAAAGGTGAAACAAATGATGAAAAGTATCTTTGAAATATGTAGTAGGTGTTGGGTGCTGATGACTTATGCTTGTAATCCTAACTACTCAAAAGGCTGAGTTCTGAAACTCAAGGATCAAAGCCAGTCTGGGCAGGAAAGCCCATGAGGTTCTTATCAACAATCAACCATCAAAAAAGCTGGAAGCAGAGGTGTGGCTCAAGTGATAGAACATCAGCCTTCAGCCAAAGACCTAAAGGATTCAAGCCTTGAGTTCAAGCCCCAACCTCAGCACAGAAAGAAAGAAGAGAGAATGAGAGAAAGAAAGAGAGGGAGGGGGAAAGGAAAGGAAAGAAAAGGAAAGGGAAAGGAAAGGGGAAAGGGAAGGAAAGGGAAGGGAAGGGAAGGGAAGGGAAGGAAAAAGACAGACAGAGAGAAAGAAGGGAAGAAAGGAAGGAAGGAAGGAAGGGAGAGGAAGGAAGGAAGGGAGAGGAAAGAAGGAAGGAAGGAAGGGAGAGAAAGGAAGGAAGGGAGAGGAAGGAAGGAAGGAAGGAAGGAAGGAGAGAGGGAAATGAAGGAAAGAAAGAAAGAAAGAAAAGAGAGGGAGGGAGGAAGAAGGGAAGGAATATGCAATAGAGCAGAGCCTAGTGAATTTTGTCTGGTATTAGCAGATGTGCAGAGATATTTAGGTAGCACTGTCAATTGTGTTTCTGACACGAAAAAGTATCCCTCAGAACCACCATTTATGTTTATTTTATGACTAATAATTTAAACATGAATTCATATCACTTCTTCAGTTGAAGAAAAGCCAGTTTCCTTGGTCTGTGGGTACTGATCATTTCGTTTAATTTGTTTTTTTCTTTGCCGCACTTTTAGTTATCTTCATCAGTAGCTTGTCTTTATTTGCCTGGACTGAACACTCTTCTTTCTTTACCCCTGTTCATTGCAAACAGCCACGAGGCAAATGTAGTCTCTCCCAGCCTGGACCCTCTGTCAGCAGTCCAAATAGCAGGTACCTTATTCTCCTGGTTTCCACACTGTTCTAGAGCCTCAAGAGGATGATGAAAATGGCTCATGACTTAGGGAGGCCTGTCTCTGGTCTGCCTCAGGACTGTTGAGAAATTACTCATTTCCACCCACATCCTTTCTGAGTAAATCGGAAGGACTATTCTCAATGGAAATCACAATAAATCTGAGCATAGCATATTTGGATTTCATCGAACTTTTGTGAACTATACCAAACCTTTCCATCAAAGGGCATTCTCTGTGTCCATTGTTTAAATCAGTGAGGATTCAATCGCCATTGATTCATGACAGATTTTTATCATCCTCTTCTTTTCTAGATTTTACAATAAGACAGGTAATCAATCAGTGAATTATTACTATTCACAGAACCCACAAATCTGCATAAAATATACTAATATCCCCAGCTTTTTTTATTTTTATCTCCCTGTTTTATCCAGATTGTGGGTTTTGGATTCTCAAAATGGCTAAGTCCTGATTTGGTGTACTTCATTGAACATTGACAGGCCCCTCTCTCTCTTCCGCTTGTCCTAAAACTCCCCTCTTGCCTGCACACTCAGCCACTTACCTTCCTTGCATTGGCAAGCTCTCTCACTCTGGATCCCCGATCAGCCGGTGTCCTGCCCAGTAACCACCTAGAGCTGAGCCCCAGCCACCCCTCTGCTCCAGTCTGGCCTCCCTGAGCCCTCACTTCTGCAGTTAGTAGTGCTTTGCCTTCTTTGTTGTTGGTGTGATGTCTGTGCTCCTTTGCCCTTCCACCAATCAGTTCGTGTTTCCCCAGAATTTTTTTTTTAAATGAAGACACTGTCTTTGAAGCTAGTTATTTTCATTCCAGTCCCCAGAAGTTCTCCATGAAAATATTTGTCCCACTGGAACCTTATCACAGTGAGCAGGAATTTAATTCCTGGAAGGAGGGTGAGGATGGAGAAATGTAAAACTGTAAACAACTCCTGAGTAATAGTTTTAGTTTCCCAGCTGTGTGCCGAAGGGCCTGGCTGGTGTAAGTGGTCATTCCCTCTCAGCAGAAGTAAGGCAGAATGTATTTGGATATGCTTTCTGGTTTGAAGCTTCCTTTTACTACGGTTATTCTTTTGCTTTGCTTTGCTTTTTTTCCTTTTTTGGTTTGAAGAGAATGTTGTGGGGGCTTCTTTATCCCTAGCAAAACAGCAATAATGAGAAAAACTCCCAGAGAATTTTGACTGTAATGGTGACATCTGTGGGTATTCTGATACCCTCTTTGCTCCATATAAGAAAAGAATAAACAACAACAACACACAACATTTGTTACAGCTAGAGCGTTGTATGGTATCATCCCTCTTTTTTTTTTTCCCAAATTGCTGGTGGACCATGACCCCAAAATGGAGACTATCTCCATAGTGGGGCTTTGGTTGCTACAAATGATTGCCATGAGAACAAGAGTGCTTAGATTCTTCTGCGATATGGACGGCAGTTACCTCTGCTTCCCAACTATCCAATCCATCTGCTCCCACAGCTGTCCCAGCTAGCCACAGAGATCTTCTCCCAAAGCCAAGGGAAGGCTGGGTCAGCCACCTTCTCACCGCAACCTCTGCCAGGCTCCTTTCAGCTCTGCTCTGCCCAGCACTGTTGATTAACATCTTTCTGAGCTTTCAGCACCAAGTTCACTGGGCTACGCAGGAGGGGATGGAATACCAATAGTCTGTACTTCGGTGGCAGACTAAATCAAAACACCTTGGCAGACGGGTTGAACAGTCTTGGGCCTTGTAACTCCTTGGCACCTCTCATTGGGTGCACCCATCCCTGACAATAACATGCAGAGCCCATGGTGGGGGCGGTAGGGAGGGGCAGGGGTGGAGGAAGTTCGCCCACTTCCTGCGCTGTCGCCGTGTTCCTTTGCAGAGAGACTTCGGGTACCTCGTGTTTGATCTTGCACTGGTCCAGCAAATTTGAAAGGTCACTGCAGTACAACAGTTCTTTGGGAGATCTGCAGTGAGAATCTCTTCAGGCACACTGCTTTCTTCTGAGGAGAGACAGACAGCATTGGCAAGGCCTAGGTATTCATTTGCAGGGAATAGTTACATGGATTTTGTTGTTGTTGTTGTTTAGAGGCAGATATTAATATGGATAGCCTGTTAGCTGTTTCAGATTGATTCATGAAAGTGATTCCATATCCTGATTTAATGTTATTAATATTTTAATATAGATTGAGAATGGTAGTCACTGAACACCTATTCTGTCTAGACTGTAGACCTACAACATTAAGACATAATGGCTCCTTTCATGTATCAGAATACAGACCAATTATAGTGACTTTCCCAGAACTTCCCCAAATTATGAGAAGTTAGAAAATAAAATTTGTGCATAAGTCATAATAACTCTTACTATTCAAGTTTTCTATTTGAGATTGAGACAGAAGGGTGCAATGCTTCTGACAATCCAGACATTACACTTTTTCTCCATCTAACTTAAAACATTCTAACCCTATCACCAAGAGTTCTTCAGTGCTGTGACTGAGTTAGACTTGACAAATGGGAAGATTTCACTCCTATTTCCCTCAAGAGAAAGGAGTCATTGCTCTGTAGTATGGTTACAGTGAATGATGACTTCATTGCTAAAGCTTAGGATTGTAAAACGCAGAACTACCCTGGAGTCTGTTGGCCTTTGGCACCTTCTGCATGGAAAATAAAGACAGAATGAGAATGGCAATGCTAGGGCTAAAGTCCTGATAGGGAAGGGAAAAGACCTCGTTTTTTAATTTGTTAAAAGTAGGCAAAGTTATCTAAGCAAGTTATCTAAGCAAAGTATCTAAGCAAGTTAGAGGTATGGGGGGGTGCATGTACATTAAGGACTCCTATAAATACATTCCGATCCTTATAGAATTTATTTCCAGATCCTTTCGGTCAGGCTCTTCTCAGAGGTCTGTTTGGTCAAAACTTATTCAAAGAATCTGATGATAAAGCAAGCCTCCCTAGAAGGAAGGCTGCCCAACCCTGCCCCGAAGTCAGGGAGAACTCTAGTTGGCTTTTCCTTTGAGAAGACATTCCCAGCATGTCTGGAGAAGGAGTCAGACGATTTGAGAGATTTGTCACATCCCTTTAAACATAATCATTGAACCTGAATTCCTTGGGAAAGCAGGCTGGATCCAGTCACTCCTAGAGACATGAGTTAGCCTACTCATGGCACATTGTACAGGTAATAGTGATAAATTTCTAACATTTATTTAGTGCTTACTCTGTTTCAAGCACTATGCTAAGTACTTGTGTACCTTCCTTCCCCCACTGAGACTTTGCAGAAGGCCATAGACAAGGACTTGGTGTATAAGAAGTGTGAAAACCTAGCTCACCTGACTACACTCTAGTGCATTACCTACGCTACCCCACTGAGGGACTGTTCGTGGAAAGCTCAGACAGGTACACAGGCTGCCTAAGGGCGCGGAGGACTAGCTGGATATGTGGTTTCAATAAGAAAAGACTGGGGTACTATAGACTCTAAAAACTTCCCTCCTGAGCCTCATATCACTAGGGAAAACAGTAGACCATAGAAAGCCGAAAAATGTCTATGCACAAATTCACGCATCCTACTGTCGATGCTGATGAGCCAGGAGCGAAATGAATCGAAAATTTCTATTCACTGAACTTTACATGACATGCGCACAGAATTAACTCATTGTTTTCCCTTGATTATGTAGAACTTTTTAAGCACACAGCGTGAGATGGCATTCAGATGTGTCCTGTCTCTGTTATAGGCACTTTCTTTGGTGTGTGTGGTAGGTGGTGCTGTTAGGCCCCGCTTCTTTCCCACCTTACCATTTTCCTTGCCTCAAAACAAAATGTATATTTTGGAACAATGACAAAACAATTCTTGGGCAGTTATTCAGAAATGTGAAGGCTAGGAATGGCCCCAAATAAATATTTGCTGTAGAGAATAAGCAATTACCTCCACTGATTCTCTTGAGTAAGTTTACACTTCACTTTTCCTGTATAAACACAGTATACACTGTCCTTCACCCATTTAGTAAGACCAATGGAGAATTACCAGTGTCTAGATAATTTTTTTAGTTGTTTTCATTCTCTCCCTGTTGAATTTCCCAAGATTCTTGAAACTTAGATGATTTAAACTCAATAAATACATACCCTTTTACTCTGAGAGAATTAACCTACCAGTCCTAAAATGTCTGAAACATGGTCACCCTGAAGAACAGGTAAATTTGGGCATGTTGAAACTCCAGTAGTTGGCCCTGAGAGGTGAGCGTTTTTCTCAGTAGGTAGATGAGACATCTCAGTGGACTGTGGACAGTTGCTAAGTACTGTGTGTCCCTGTCTCAACCCATTGCATCTTGCATCTCCCTAGGTTAGCATTCTTTAATATTAAAAGCCACACAGCAATTAAATGTTAGGAAAGAATTCTCTGATGTTGTTAAATGTGCCATGTCCTTCAAACGGCCCTAGAACATGTGAGCGTAGGATCTGGAAATGACGACCTTTTGAGTGTTTCACAGGAATGAACAGTCAATGCACCACTCCCATGTTGATCTTGATCATTGACCTAATTACAAAAAACAAAAAATAATAAGCTAATAATTGACAGAAAAGCATGATCCCTCTGTGTTGGGTTGTAATATCAATATGTGTCAATCTGCCCACCACTATGAGCCTTTGAAACAAACCACTGAATCATGAACTATCAAACAGGAAATTTTTTTTAATATATTAAGGCTTCTGTCTTCTTTTTCAAATAAGAAAACTAAAGGCCAGAGAGACTAAGGGACTTCCTTGTAATTATATAACCACCCAAACACAAAATACTCTTATGTCACTACAATGATTGGGTGGTCAGAAGCTTTATGACTAGAGACATGGATAATAAATACCAAGAAAGCAGTTCTAAATAGGGTACAAATATTCTCTTTTTTGCTTCAATATGTGAGATGCGTGTGACATAAATGACCCGTAGGATAGGACTCGCATTTGTGTCACCAAACCAAAGATCATAGCATAGTCAAAAGTGTGGCAAACAGATTTTGGTGAATTCTTGTGAGATCTCTTTGGTTTGTGAAATTTGTGAAATTTAGCTAGCTATAGAGGCCAGATTCTGGGAGTGGAGTTCTAGGGTTGAAACCTGAATTCTGACACTCAATAGCTATGCCATCTGAAGCCTGCTACTGAGTCCCCTTCCCTAGACTATAAATGAAGCTAATAAGCCTACCCTGGTTGACTGTTAGGAGGATTAAGTGAGAGAACCCAAGATAAAGGCTCAGAGTGTTGCCTAGCAATTTGAAGAATAACTGTTAACTCTCCTTAGCTACTTATCTACAACATTAGGAAATAGATTACTTGCCGTAGCCCTGTCTCAACATGATATTTTATAATTAGATAACTTGAGAAGTTTCTATTTCTCTTCATCTATCAATAAGGCATATGGATGACATTTTTCTTTATGCCTTACTATATCTCTACAAAATACACATTTTTTTTCATTCTGCTTCATTAGGAATAATTCTCTGGGCTTGGCATAGGGCACTTAAGCAATTTGACCACTAGATGGTGATTGAATTCTTGTGGCCTCTCAGTTGGGAGCTTGTTTACACTGAAAAATTAGTACAACTCATAAATCATATAAAACATGGAACAGAGAAGTTGAGAAACCATCTAGTCTAATTTGAAGAGGTCAGCAAAGGAGTTGGTACACAGAGGCAAGAGTTGTTTAAGGATACATAACCCCTAGAATGCAACCTCAGAAAGAAACAAGGGTCTAAGTCAGACCAAGAAGTTGTTGGTTTTGTTGTTGTTAGTTTTCTCATTACCCTACAAGAAAGACAGTGCAGTTCAGGGATGCTAGAGTCTCTCTTCTTTCTTCAATAGTTTAATAACAAAGTTTTGAGTAGCCCTCACTACCCACTCCCCTTTAAGGGGACTAAATGTTTTTTTTCATTTGAAGTAGTACTTAAATGCCATCCCTTTTGCCCCATTGATAATCAGGTAATCTGTCTTCAAGAATTAATAGTTAATAGGGCACTACAGATTTCTTATGATCGAGACCTACAGAGTTAGCAAGATGGTTTTATCTCTTCATAGTTTTCCATCTACCTGTCAGTGGATGTCACTTTCCCCTAATGATGCTAAACCATTAAGGACTGCATGCTAGCTGTATGAGAATGTGTCTTCTTGACATATTTATTCTTTGCAACCATGCAAAGCTGTGCAAGTGTGGATGTATACCAATGACGTTTCTGCCTTCACCTTTTCCTCTAGTAAACAAACAAACAAAAAAAAGAAGCTCCTTTCCAGAGAAAATAGTAGCACACAATTCAGAGAGGCTGCTTCCCCACTCAGTATTCATTTTTGAATGCTGAAATGGATGCTCAGTCTCCAGTGCACAGTTGTAAAGGATGATCAAAATAAGAAGGTGTAGAACATTGACCTTCAAAATGACAATCTGTCCCCTCCAAAAAAAACGGTGGCAGGTTTTCAAAGCCACAGAATGAGTGACAAGATCAGCCTAGAATCCATCCTTCAACAGCAGTGCTCTGTAGAGAACTCCCTTACGAGTCCTTCGTGAAGCTTGAAAACTACTATTGTGAGGGTCAGATACTGGTCCAGTGCAAGATTCAACCATGGTATCCTCCATTGTCTTAATTGACAAGACATATACATGTATATGGATGGATGGATGGATACAGTCAGTGCATTTTCCAACAACCTCTTTAGTAGTGGGATAATAACCAATCACACTATGGAAAGCTGGCATCTCATTCCCAAACTTGGGCTGTGTTTTGCACGGCCCCTTGCCTTCCAAGATGGCACTGATGCCCCAAAGCAGTATCCATGCAGTATTTGAATTACTTGAGTTTGTTTTGTCTTTTATGTTGATTCTACTCTCAGGTCCACAAAAGGTGGCTCCGATTCCTCCCTTTCTGAGCCTCCGCCGGCGAGGTCGGGTCGAGCTTTCCTGTTCCGAGTGCTCCGGGCGGCTCTCCCTCTTCAGCTGCTCCTGCTGCTCCTCATCGGCCTTGCCTGCCTGGTACCCATGTCAGAGGAAGACTACAGTTGTGCGCTCTCCAATAACTTTGCCCGATCATTCCACCCCATGCTCAGATACACAAATGGTCCTCCTCCACTCTGAACCAAGCAGACGCCGTCTGCAGAAGAGCTGGGAACAGGAGGAAAGCCCAGAGCAATCCCAGACTGTCAGACAGGACCTTGATCTTGGCAGAAGTCCTCGGTGTGGCAGCTTCCTCTCTCCTGTACAACCAATGTGTACAAATCATGGCTTTGGAAGTGGTGATAAACAGTGACAGGAAGAGAACAGAGAGAAGGCCTGGTACTTGGAGTTTGAGCACTAAACAGACTAAGGACATCCGAAGTTGCCTGGACTCATGAATTCTGGGCCTCCGGCTCATTTGATGCATAGCCAAGGACTTCAGTGGACCATCTGGGCAGCCCTCCCGTGATGCTGCTGCCCCAAGCCACACACCACGTCTGTATTGTACAATCTACCAGCCGGCAAGTGCTTGGCAGATTCTAGAACCTTGTAACAGGATTTTTAAGAACTTACATGGCAGCTTCCTTTCTCCCTGTTTTCCTTTGGGGTGTGATGTTCTAACCTTTGCTTTAGACGCACAAGCTGTAAATCTAAAAGGCACTTTTTTTTTAAGGTATAAAGAGAAAACCTAGATGTAATCAATAAGATCACTGAAGGCTTTATGTGAAAAAAAGAGTTGAATGTTATAGTATAAAAAATATTTATGTATGTACAGTTTGCTAAAGCCAAGTTTTGTTTGTATTGATTTCTTTGCATTTATTACAGATACTATAAAATACTGTGTCTCTTCCTTTTTCTTTCCCCTACAAAAATGACTCTGAAGGTCTGTGTTAAGCATGGGCATACATTCTTATCACATTAAATTTTCCAAAGACTGAGTGGCAGAGTGGGAGAGAAAAGAAGTTGTTCGGTGAGTTGACACACCGTAGCCATGGGACATGGTTTCCCCAGATGCTAGCTCGGCCATTTAAACAAGATGAGACCAGGTCCCTGCCCACAGCCCTCACAATTTTGAGGGCCTGACTATGGAGGAAGAGGCCTGGGGTCTTAACAGGAGCATCCCCTCCCTCCCATTGCCAGTCACCTGGCGACAGGTGTGTGGTGGTGGGGGCGTTAATGTTCATGGCGGGGATGCACCTTTTAGAGTATATGGAGTGGCAAAGAACACATTAGGGGATACTGAAGTGGCTTCAGGGGAAGTGGGTACAGAGAACAATGTCCCACGTGAGGGGGGTGGGAGGGGACACGGAAGGCCACGGGCAGGGACCACCAAGGAACTAGAGAGAGTGGGAAGGGACACAAGCAAACAGGAAAGGTTAGCTAGAGAGGACAAAGAGACAATCCACAAAGCAAAGATGGAAAAATAGAAACAAATGTAGTGAAGTCATTAAAAACCCAGGGGAAGAATGAAAAGGTTTCAGGAACACAGTCTGTGAATAGGACAATAGATTTTTCCAGAAGGTGGGCCTGCGGCAACAACTCTTGTGGTGTGTGAGAAGTGAGAAAAGAAGTCTTTGAAAGGTTTCCAGCGGGAAGTCAGCAATCCAGGGCTGAGATTTACTGTCGGAAAGACAGGTTGGGGTAGACTGATTCATAGTCTGTAACTTGGGGCCAAATATTAAGAAATTACAACTACTCAATTTTATTGGCAAGTCATATAAAAGATCATAAAGCAAGGAACAATGGGATACGATGATTGATGGAAGCTGCTCCCAGCTGGAGAGGCGGAGCCTTCCAGCACAGTTTGATGGCTGTCTTTTCTGCTCGGTGCCCACTGGTTTCCCCCCCCACACACACATCATCACCCCAATAGCCACAGGGAACTGTACAGCAGTTAAAATAATGTCACAGTGTATGCCAAGTAGGTCCAGCCACGTCTAGGAAAGCGGCAGTGTCCAGAGCCCACTGGGGGGGGGGGGACAGGAACTACTTCAAACACCCTTAATCAGGTCCCAGCTAGGCCCTCACAACTTCTGCCTAATTACTCATTCCAAGCAGTCCTCTGCAGAGCTTTGACCTGCATAAGACTCCCATCCATCATCTAAAACTCGAGGTGCAGGAACATTGAGGAAACCAGACAGGAATCCAATAGAAGTAAGATCAAGCTTAGGGCCGGAAAGGAAGATGACCCCTGCTAGACAAAACTCTGCAAAACTTTACAGAAAAGTCTGTGAGAATCTTATCTCCAGTAAACTATTTGGAAAAATCTGGAAGTGGCTCAAGTAGTAGAGCGCTAGCTTTGAGCACAAAGAGGTTCAGGGACAGCACCTAGGCTTTGAGGTCAAGCCCCAAGACTGGCAAAAAAAAAAAAACCACAAAGATTTTTAGATGTACTGGGCAAGGATGGTTCGTTCACTCACTTGGAGGTGGTGTTCTACTTAGTCACGTGACATGATGTACTAAGGAGGATGTTGGGTGATAAGAGGAAGCGTCACTCACTGGTCATTGTGATTTCAGATTTAGTAACACATTGTAATAACACTGGCTGACTGTCATGTCGACAGCAGTCCAAAGATTAAGAAAATGAAAAGTAGTGGCATTTGTTCTTCCAGTCACCTCTCCTTCCCCAGAAATCTGCAGGAAAGCTGATATTGGAGGACGCCCTTCCTTCATTGCGTAAGGGAACCAGGATGAAGAGAAGGTACTTCTTGAAGTCTTGGTAGAGTGATCCTCTGACGCTGGTCAGCAAGTTGAGAATGGCTGATGGAAAACACAGCAATACACAAGCTGAACCACAAGGGACATAAGGAAGCCAGGTGGGAGTCCAGCGTCCAGCGTAAGCTTTTGAAAACTGAAGGTCACAGAAAAATCAATTGACCTTACAAATCGTCGTACCTGTTCCTGAAGACCAGCACCTATATGTCACGGAACTTGAAGCCACAATAATACAAGGACAAAGTCCCTTGTGTACGTGTGTACTATGCCATGAGTGACAATTTTGTCTGATGCCATCGGTCGTCCTGAAGAGATCCAAAGCCTCCCTGCGGGTGTCTACTTCCAAAGCTCTGTAGGATGCCAAGCTTTAGTGTTGCTGGAGACATTTGTTGTTGTTTGGGGGATTTGAACTCAGGGCACTTACTCTGATTGCTTGCTTGGCTGGTGCTCTAAAACTTGGGCTATGCCTCCAGCCCAGCTTTTTGTTAGTTATTTTCAAGATGGAGTTTTGCTGACTTTTCTGCCAGGAGTGGCTTCAAACATCCAATCTTTCAGTATACCTGGCATTACAGATAGGGCCCAATGGTGCCAGGCTGCCAGATATTCTTGATAGGGTTGGTGGGTTCAGAAGGTAGAGCCACCAAGCCTCTGCCAGTACCTGGCAAGCCAATTCCAGTCTTAAACTACAATTTTTTTTAATGGTAAGAACACAGCCGCCCCCATTGGTAAGTGCCCAATCCACACCTTCCGGCGGATATACACATGGATGGAGGGTGGCAGGAAGGGGAGTGGCCAGGAGTTTTCTCAAGGTGCTTCCTGATTGGCAGAGATGGTGTCAGGTCCCGGCTTACAGGCCATAGCCTGCCGTGGACTGTCCCACTCACAAGCCCTTCAGCTCTCTTCCAGTGGCCACAAGGCCACAAGAGGGCTCGCAAGTTCCCAGCCATCCACCATGACTCAGTATCAGCTGGATGGAAGGGTGTCTCTATGAATCTGGATGCTAGATTAGAACTCTACCTTGAGCTGCTGAAATATCTGTCCCTTGCTGCTTTAATGATGACAGTACATACATTTATAAGTGCAGAGGTATGTCAGTCAATAATAAAAAGTATTGTCCAAATGTGTATTCTAGTTATTGATACTAGTACTAGTATATTGTTCATTGGTTACTTTAGTATAGGTTTTAATACCTCCTAAGACAAGCCCTATTTCTCCTTGTCCATGTAACCATTTTGAAAAAAAAAATGAACTCCTTAAATTACAAAAGATTTTTTGTTGTTATTGACACCAGAGCTTGAACTCAGGGCCTTCACATTCACTGGACTTGCTTGCTCATACCTGGTGCTCTACCACTTGAGGCATGCTTCCAGCCTGGATTTTTGCTGATTAAAGATGGAGTTTCTGTCTGACTTTTCTGCATGGACTGACTTCGTACTGGGATCCTCCACATTTTATTCACCTAAGTAGTTAGGGCAAGAGACATTAGTCACCAGTGCCCAGTAGAGTCTCTGATTTATAAAGAAAAGCTCAGTTACTTCTCTATTGATCATCTTCAAATTTTACTCTCTTTCATATGCCTTCTGATTTAAATTTTTACTGTCTTCTATGCTTTTTGATATTTCTCATTCACACACAATACACATGCCTTTAAAAGAAAGTAGGAGGGGGCTATTTTGTGTGTGTGCTTGCCAATTCAGGGATTTGAACTCAGGGCCTGAGTGCTGTCCCTGAGCATGTTTGCTCAAGGCTAGCACTCTACCACTTGAGCTACAGCTCTATTTCTAATCTTTGTGTATGTGTGTGTAGGGGGTGGGAGACGGGAGGTAGTTGTGGTTGGAGATAAAAGTCTTATGGACTTTCCTGCCCAAGGTGGCTTAAACTGTGATCCTTAGATCTCAGCCTCTTGAGTAGCTAGAATTACAGCTATGAGCCACCGGCACCTGGGGGGAAAATGGGCTATTTTCACGACCATTTAACTTTTTAACAATATTACGACATGTTAGTATTTATGCATCCATCTCCATGATGATTGGATACCTCAGTATCTTTTCTCTCTTTTGGAAAGTAAATTATATTTATTGGGCAGGGTTGAGTCTTGCCATGTGCCCTGGGTAGATGCATGTAGGATTCTAGCAATGCTTATTTACTGAAGCACACAGCATGGCAGTCACCTCTGGGTCGCTTAGGATGTCACAAGAACCGATGACGTCTACTTATGTAGAAGCTATCACTAGTACAATACAATTGTATTGTTGAACATCACATCGCTGAACTTCCCTTTTGATCCATTCCTCCATTCCTCCCCTCCTCCACCAGTTATTTTTCTACTCCTGCATATTGTCACCACAGGAAAGGATTGAAAGGATATTGAGCTCATTGAAACCAATCAGCATGATTTTGCATCAGTTGTTTTCTTCTAACTGTTTCCTATTTAATAAAGCTACACTCACACTCTTGCATGGATGTATAGGCCTTTGTTCAACGCTGTTTTCCTTTTCTAAGATGCATTAGTCGAGGTGCACCCACTGTTCAATGGAGAAGATGTTCCCAATGCATGGTT